ATTTTGTGGAAATCTCTGGAATTTTGGAGAAATATCTAGAAGATATTTACAAAAAATCTTCCCTGAAGAACTAAACAAAAATAAAGGTTCAACCAAAATATATAGTGATTGATTTATTAAGCCAGGATTTAAGGAATTGAGACAATTGGCTTATTATATAGAAAACCGCCAGCTATTTGAGACCAGTTATGTGGGGCAAAATGGTCTGAAAATATAACCACATTGGTATTACACAGAACAATTATTAAGGTCAGTATTCTCAGTCACACCAATTACTCAAAGACCTCAAATATATCTGACCTAAAATTTCCTTCCTTGGAGACAGGAAGACTAAAAGTGGTATCTTTTAAACAATGGAATTCAAATAGACACAAGTATAGCTTTGGTTCACATATCAGGTTTGATAGTGCATTTTATCCCAAAACAACTCCACAGTAGATGTGAAAAAAAAAAAAGCCATTACAGTGTAGTGTTTAAGAGTGAGAGTTCTTTAATAAGGCAGACCTTAGTTTAAACCCAGATTCTGCCACTTTCTATTTGTGTAAACTTGCGCAAGTTGTGGAAATAATAATAGTATCTACCCAAAATGGTCATTGGAAGAATTGAATGAGATTGTGCATGTAAGAAGTATACTGCTGTGCCTGTCACACAGTAAAACGCTATGACATATTAGCTCCCATAGTCGTTTTTGATACCTTTCCTCTTTGTCAGTGACTGTGACCCACAAAGATATAGCACAAAATCAAGGTTAATTAAATACAGGATTTAACATATTTCCTGCACAAACCATCTCTCACAACAGTCCTCTCTTAAATGGGATAGTAATGTTACCCTAAGTAATGTCTCAATGACTTTAAAAATCAGTCCATAATTGAATTGAAAGTTGCCACAATTTTTAATTTAACATCTCACTTTAACTCAGTTTTTTTTCAAATTCTTCATTCTGCTTTGTCTGATAATTCATTCCCACAGAGACTGCACAATTATTGTAAATCATTTACTGTACTTGGTGTACATAATGGTTTTGTTCATATCACTTTATTTCTCTTAAAAATGGCATTCTGTACTGTCAAGATGCCCCTTCTAACTCTTCATTTTGCCAAAGATGGTAGAAAAGCAAGATAATAGCAAATAACTCCTAATGGAGTACATGTCAACAGACAGGGATTATAAGGATTGATATTGCTCAATGTTCTCTGGGCTTAACTGATTCTGTATTTTCCAAAGAGTATAACGTATATCCAAAAGTGTCTCTTCTCTGGCATAATATGTATCAGCCTATCTTGTAAAAATAGCTGCCTTGTTTTTAATGAGCTTCCAAATAATTCAACCTTAAAGTATCTTTTACTGTTTTTATCATTTGGAATTTTTAGATAATCTCAAATTGACCTTGTTATTAATCTCATGCTTTATGAACACATTTATTTATGCTACTAGGTGCGATTCTGATCTAGATTATGCAAAAAATATTAAGATAAGAACAAAAATGAATGCTAACTTCAATAATACAAATAAATGTATTCCACAGGAACTGTTTTGACCTGAACTAGCTGGGTATTTTTGCCTCACCTACAAGAGTAATCTCACATAGTTATAACTTAAATTTAGGGCACTTTGGGGAAATGCATATGATTGTAGACCATAATACTAATTCATGATAAATGACCAAGGAATCAGGGAAAAGAAAATATAAATGATGAGATTTCAAGTTCTTATAATAGAAGATTTAAAAATTACTGTTATGTTAAAAGTACCAAATCACGCTATATGAACATATATGAAATAAAGAAATAATTTATTTAAATTTCTCCTTGGAAAATTTCCCCAGGCTTCCTGACTTTATGATTCTTAATCAAATGCATGAGACAACATGAAAAAAATCACAAATGAGTTGGTTTAAAGTATTACCTATGCATGGGGTGGAAAAAATGATCTCTTTTTATCCTTTTTCACTTCTCCATTCATCATTTCTGAGTCTTGAAATATAGTATTTCAGTATTAGGTCTTTTAGCATTTGACTTAACAATCAGTAACTCTCAGATTCCCTATTCATCCTTAGAAGTAGGAATGACTCAGAGCTGGGCTGGGACTCTGCCTCTTCTCACTGGAAACACCTACAGGCGTACTCTAGTTTTATTACCGCTCTAGGAATTGGCCCAAAGAATATAGAAAGTTAATTTTTTATCTGTTTTCATGAATATATGACCCTTGACAGTGGATTGAAGCAAAAACTAATTCCTAAACTGAAAATACCCAACTAAATACTGACTACTTACATTTTGAGTTAAGCCACGGTCCTTGGCTTGGAGATGAATTAAATATATTTATTGCCCTTCCCTTGTCCCTCAGTTGGCAAAGCATATTCTCAGGTCTGGTCTGCATGAAAGCTTTTAAGAAAGGTGACAGGTCTGGTCTTGGCTGCAACCAGCAGGACAGCTAGAAGTTGGCCTTGCCCAATAAGAAGGAAGACAGTGGCTTGCCTGTCAGCTCTTCCCACAATGTTGCTATTCAGCCTGCAACTTTCACTAACCGGGGAAAACTCTCTTAAAAGAGAGAAAATTATGATCAGTGAACACATAAGCATATGCCTAAGCTAACGATGCAAGGTGATAATTTGTCTCATTTGCCAAAAGACATTTAAATGTTACTGGATCTGTTTTGCTGAAATATTTGTGCAGATTTTAAACTGATTCCAAGTGCTTTCTTTGCTTACCTAAGCTAATTACCTCAATTTAATTACGCTCCATATTCCCAGCTCACCCAAGCTTTTCCGAGATATTACAATTTTCCTAATATATAGAATAATCATTTACAGTCTGGGAAGTAAAATCAGACTATTTGGCTCAACTGATGTCACAGATTTATTGTGCCGCAACATTTTCAGATGGGAAGAGTCCATGAGGTTCACTTAGGTGTGTCCATTCCCTGTGTTCAACTCTTGCAATGTTTTTCTCCTGGTACTTAACTCTTTTGGAAGTGCTCAAGCTTGCATTTTCTCATGTAAAAGATTTTCCTAAGCTCGCTTTTGGCCTCCTTCAACACTTGGCTTCACTTCACATGTCCTCATTTTTGAACTTGTTATTCTCTGTGGACAAGGTTTTTGACATCCATCTTCTCTTTAACAATCAAAATGTTATACATCCTGGAATTACTCAGACCATAATTTGCTCATGTTCCTTACTTTTGCTACAAGAACTGTGTGGGTGGACCAAGGACCAATCAGATAACCATTGTTTTATATTTTTCTTTTCACATAACTGCAAGTCTCATTTTCCTAATATCTCAATAGAACAATTTTTAGATTCCATCTCTTCTCTCTTTTTAAAAATGTTCTCACTGCCTTTGTGTTTATGATGAAATAATAAATGTCAAGCCCTAGCTATAAAGTCATAGCTATAAATCATAGCTTTTTCAATAGCTAATAAAAGATGGAATAGATTCCTCCAGCCCAGAATTATTTGAATAAATTCTATAACATTCTGCTTTTCCTGCTCTATGCAGTTCACAAGAATATGTTCATGCTGTTAATTTTAAACGATTTCTTATTTATTCACGAATTTATTGTTTGTTTATTTACTTAGCAAAAGATATGTCAAAGGGGAGGGAGAAATTTGGAGCATTGTGGCAAATGTTACTTTATCATATATTTGTATGTATAAAATGTGAAATATAGCATCTTATTTTGAAACAACTTTAGTAGCATATCAAATGTCTGGCAAGCCACTCCAGGATCCTCACTCACTATTGAACTACTCTAATAAAATGTCATCTTTCAAACAGAAAGAAGGCTCAGAAGGTTCTCATTAGCCTCTATTATTAGCCTTTGCTAATTTTTCCTTTAGTGACAAGGATTTAAAGGACAAAGTCTGGAGCCTTTTTTATGTGTTCCAAATGACACTTTTTGGCACTGTACAAAAGCACACAGCTTTCCGGGAACAAGGCTTAGCCGGCAGTGAGGAATCATCAATGATTAATTTAGGAAGTCCATCCTAAGCATGTGGAAGTATCTTCAGGATAACGGCAGTAAGTGGTGTGTATCCTGGTGATGGGGTTACTTTGCATTCCCAAGGTTCAGAAGAGGGTGAAGGCAGCTGAGGAAGGAGGGCTTGGAGGGGCCCCTTACTGCCTGTTTTCAGTAAGGCCTGGCATGCTACACACTTTGAAGAGTCAAATAGGAGGAAGGCGCAGTTTGGATCTAAACTCTATATTCACGGTAAGTAGACGGAAGCAGCCATTAGGATTTTATTTCTGTTATTTCACTGCTTTCTTTCATAATCCTTCCTTTTAATTCTCCAGAATTTCTCTCACCACTTCTGCCCAAACGATGACATTCCCATTCCCAGTGGTAAAATGCCTGTAGAAGTAGAAGATGGATGCAGCGGCGATTGAACCCGGAGTTAGACACGGGGTAACAGAATTCCAGCATCCTCGCACTGTAGGAGGCCTTGAATGGCGGTTCAAGTTCTCCCTAAGAGGGAGGTGTCCTAAGGCGAACACCTGGCCTTTTCCTCATTTTGCTGTCAGTCATCATCCCGCCTCCCTACACTCACCTGATTTCTGGATCGTGATGTGAGAAGCCTGGCTCTGTAAATACCTCATAGTAATTTCCTAAGGTCGCAGCCACTTAACTGGTGAATCTGTAATTGGCTGATTTGAAAGAACAGAAGTGCATCTATTTCACACATTTGTTGAAGATCGACTCGATACGGGGCGATGAGGATTCAGCAGAAAACCAGACCGATCAAGATCCCGCTTTCCCGGAGCTTACGTTCTGGTGGAATTAAAAGTTGTTTCTCACCATCCGTGCTGTGCCCGTCACCAGCTCTGCCCGAGGACTCCTTGAAGTTCACTGTGAAGGCAAAGGGGAACACGGCTTTCCTAAGGGGCATTGTAAGCTGGCCTCGGCTCTCCGCGGACAAAATTTGAAACAATGTAAACTGCAGAGCAGAGAAGGAGGCGGGGGAGTGTGTGTGTGTGGCGCCGGAGGGGGGGGGGGTCACTTGAGGTGGCGTCTATTAGCGTCAATACGGCGGAGTCAGGGGACCTAGCTGGAGGCTGAAAACTTCACGCCAAACTCTGAGATCACACCCCCCGCTCCCCTTCTCCTCCTCCCCTCCGAAGATCCACGGCCGCAGCGGGAGCGCCGTCCCAGGGGGAGCCCGGGGAGCCAGGGGGGCTCGGGGAAAGTGGACTAGCATTCGCTCCCCCTTCTCCCCCATCCCTACCATGGGCTTTCCCCTGGAGCGCTTCGCCGAAGCCGTGGACCCGGACTTCGAGTGCAAGCTGTGCGGCCAGGTGCTGGAGGAGCCCCTGTGCACGCCGTGCGGGCACGTCTTCTGTGCCAGCTGCCTGCTGCCCTGGGCGGCGCGGCGGCGCCGGTGCCCGCTGCAGTGCCAGGCGCTGGCGCCCGGCGAGCTGTACCGGGTGCTGCCTCTGCGCAGCCTCATCCAGAAGCTGCGCGTCCAGTGCGACTACCGCGCCCGCGGCTGCGGCCGCTCGGTCCGGCTGCGCGAGCTGGCGGCGCACGTCGAGCGCTGCGACTTC